GATACAAAAAAAAAAAACAATTAACAACAACAACAACAACAACAACAATTAATCAGCACATGGGCCCCACCTTGTAGTGATCGTGGTGCCTCATCTCGAGCGCTGACTCGACCTGCCACATGGGATTACGGTACAACGCACGCACGGACTCGGAGGGGAAAGACATGGCGAGGAGTCGGCCGGTTATGTAGGTCATGTCGAGGTCATAGCCAGCAACGAGCATTCGCCTCCTCTGTTTCGAGACAAGGCTTCGTATGTAGTTTCTCTGGAGGCATTCGACGAGGCTTAGCCTCGAATATCGAGGAAGTTTGGGTCCCTTCTTGGACAGCTTCAACCCCATAATATTTTTACATGTACAGAGCAAAGAGCTTAGGAAAAATTATGATTGTAATGATGCAGTAAAAAATTGGAATTTACGTGTGTGTATGATGATGTTAATCAATTCTTGTTTAGATGAAAAGGGTTTGGATTTTGGAAGTAATTTGTTGCATAATCCTAATGCTAGTGTGACTTGAATTTCTGTTATGTAAGCATAGTTATAATTCGAATTTTAATTTATAGGGATGATGGAGATCTGTTTGGGGAGAGTTATAATCGATCTTGGAATGTTGAATTGAGGAAAGTTCTATAGTGGGTAAATGCTAATGTCCGGTTACGGAACATTCTGTCGGGATTTGTTACCGTTAGATGATATAGTATTAGATTTGGAATTTTATCCATGGCTATAGAATTTTTAAAATTATAAAAAACTTAATCAACTTTAATTATAAATATATTTTTAAACTTATTAGCTTTTTATTTATTATATTTTTTTTTTTCATATTATATATGATATATCAAATTATTATCTTGATTTGATATCCATATTGCAGATATAAAATCTTATATCTAACTTTATAAATAAAATAAAATTATCTCATATATCCTAATTGTAAAATTATAAAATTATTAATTATTAATTCAATTTATATATCAAGTCCATTATATAATATGAGTTAGAAAATTTATTATAGAATAAGACGAGCAAATATTCTTACAGACAACGAGTGCCATTTTAAATAGAAATAAAAAAAATATAATTTTTTTTAAATAAAATATTTAAAATATTTAAATAAAAATTTCTATTTTTTCACTTTTTATTTATAAAATTTTCAATAAAACACTCATGTAATAGACAAGTGCGGTAGAAGTTTTTATTTAAACGTATAAATAGTTTTTTTTTTTTTTTAAATATATTTTTTAATGAAAACATATGTATATGATATTAGAATATAATATCGTTTTTGAGTTGTCTCGCATCGTTTATACAAGAAAAATAGACAAAATTTACGAGAAAAATATGCATAACTTATAAGCCTAGTGGACTACTCCTCCTTTTACCAATTGGTTTTGGAAGAGAACCTCACTTGAGTTTCACTTGAGCTTTTTTTTATTATAGTTCTCTTCACGTGCGTGGACAACACCCGTTTTTTTTCCTCGTTTCTTACATTTGACACTCACTATAAAACATTATTAAGGGGAGAAATGTACGTAAACGACATAGAGTTCATAACAAAGTAATATTTAAAAAAACTAGGGGTAGTATATCATTTTAGATTTTAAGTGACATTATAAGATTTTTGTTTTAAATTGACGATTTTTTAAGATTCGGACATGTGTCCGTTCATCTATTTTTAGTTTTTACCATAGAATTTCATATGTATTTTCGGTCAATAAGCACGATAATACACCATCTTTGTTCCTTTGGCCATTTAATCACAACATTAACTATTTGACAATTTAATAGATCAATTTGATGTATTTGACAATACTATACACGTCTTTAATTTCCGTCGACAAAAAATATGATGTGGCATAGCTTTTTATCCTACGTGGCGTAGCCCCTACATGACATTTCTCTTTATAAAGTCAATTTTGTAATCGTTTGGTAACTCCATATCTATATCTAATGCAAGCGTAAGCGTCCTGGTCCGGTTCGAGATAGATCGGTTCTTGTCCTCGCCGGTGGAACGTCGGAAACCTGCAAATAACTCTCACACCGGGGGTTGTGTCCGGTGAAGAGCCTCCGATGCTTAAGTCAGTATGTGTATGAGTATACTGAAGTGAAGTATGGAAAATAGAATGTGTTAAGGGAGAAAGGCTCACCCCCTTTATATAGGGTGAAATACCTGCCCTAATAGTTGCCCGGATAAGGTGAGTTGGCTGCCCAAACTGCCCGTCCGTACTCTGACACGCCGCGCACATGTCAGAGGTGGTGCAAGGCGTTGGGAGCTGTCAGAGGTGGTTATCGCTATCACCCACTACATTCTCGACACGTATCCTCCTGCACATGGGGTAAATATTCTCCTGAGGTTCAGTTAGAGGCTCTTACGCGCGCCCGCGATACACGCGCCCATGACTAGGTCGATTATTGATTCCTCGAAGTGATCGACCTGCTGAGGTCGAATAGGTTGCACGATCAGGTATCTGGTCGAGCGACGGGTTGCTCGATCGTCTTTCGGGTCGTGCGATGGACTGGTCGACCACCTGTTTGGTCGACTGTCTGAATGATCGATCCTCCCGCTTCTTGTCTTGGTTTCCTCTTAGTTTGACCCTCTCGACCGGCTGAGCAGACCGGTTTAGCCTTGTGTATATAATATCCCATATCAATATCTATATCTATATCTATATCTATATAATGGACCAATCTTTATTCCATACTTGACATGATTTTGGGCGGGAAAATTTTTTCGTCTATATTTGGCATTTATTAATATTTATTTTTTAACAAATCTTATGCATGAAAAACATAATTAATTTCTATACACTCAATGACTATTACTCATTAACTACAAATTGGTTTAACCGTAGATTTATTAGATATATTTTCCATAAGATCTATATTAATTTAATAGTTAATTATTGACACAATTCATAAGATTAATATGGAAATCGATTTGATTAAATATATTATCATCTATGGTTGTTGGTATTAATTTAATTAATTATATTCACTATTCAAAAGTACTTAAAATGTAGTCAATTTAACTATGTTTAAATCATAATAATTTAATAAATAATTTAAAATATTAATAAAATTTTCTAAAATGTAGTCAATTTAACTATAAAAAAGTATATCCCATTGAATATATCATATGCGGTGATAATACTATTGAAATTTAAATAATATACTAATAAAAATAAAATTAGATGGTCGGATGCAATTCAGAACTATAAATTTCACTAAAAGTATCTATGTACATTAAAAGACTATTCAGTTTTAAAAATAGGCAAAATTGCACCTAATATCACCACCTTTATCGAAATTGCAAATTAATCACGACTTTTGGACTTTGGCGCACAATATCATGATCTTCAATTTTTGGCAATACGGTACA